TTGCAGTGCTAGAGTACAAATCCAGAGCCTCGCATACGCTAGGTAAGTGCTATACAACTAAGCTCCAGTCTCAGCCACAGAGTTCATATATAATAAAAGACTAAAGTCATTTTATATTAGTAAGTTTCTTAGTGGCTTTTAAAATGCTCTAACACTCTTTATTGTTTGTTCATGGTATAACAATATGAAAATAAAATTCTGGAAAGGGGAAATAATATTCTATGTAAGGGAAGAGAGAAACATCTCAGACAAACTGGGGAGAAACCAGTCTCAGCCACAGAGTTCATATATAATAAAAGACTAAAGTCATTTTATATTAGTAAGTTTCTTAGTGGCTTTTAAAATGCTCTAACACTCTTTATTGTTTGTTCATGGTATAACAATATGAAAATAAAATTCTGGAAAGGGGAAATAATATTCTATGTAAGGGAAGAGAGAAACATCTCAGACAAACTGGGGAGAAAAATATTCTGATATAGTGACAGTTATTATATATATGTATTTTGATATAGTGACAATTATTTCATATATTCTCCTTAAGAAATGGAAAAATAATAAAATCAGTTATTGTAATAATCATGCTAAACACTAACATAGTACCTAGATTTCAATGTCGGCACCTTAGGAAGCTTGACTCCTTCTAACAATGATACCATTGTTTAATTACAGATTCAACTTCTGCAATAGTTCTTAGAGCCAATTTGGGGGACGGGGACGTGCGTGTGCACACACACACACACTTCCAAAAACATATTGCCAGGAATGATCCGCCACCTTACACATCTGATATCTGACTAAGTTTTGAACGAGCTAGCATAAAATTTATCTGTCCCTGAGACTGTTCAAAAAAATATCCGTGGCCCAATTGTAGAAGGGATCTAAATTGACTTAACTGACAGCAGTGTTAAACAACCATATGAAGCCTCCTACTGGGAAGATTACAAAATAAGGATTCATAAATTCTGCCATGGCCATTTAAATAACATTAGGATCATAAGCTAAATCACTGCTTTTCCATTACAATATAGTAAATATACAATTTGAAAGCCACAATGAATAGACTATTCAGAAGCTATTCCAGGAACTCTGATTATGAACACTGACTTCTTTATTGCTGTACAGACATAGAAAGCACAATAGATTGAGCAAAATAACAAAAGGCTGCTGGAGAGTTTACAAAGTGTTTACCGTCATTACCGATGAAATGACCTACCAAAAGAAGTGTTACCATCCTTTTCTGGATAAAGTACTCAAGTCCTGAAACAGTGGCTCTCCAACCTTTCTCTGTCCCCTAACACCCAAAGAACTCTCTTTCACAACCAGTGTAAAGAGCACACAGCTGGGGATACGCACGTGAATCACCCCAGGTGCTTCCAGAGTGGTGATCTGGGTCCACCTGACCCTGTTCTCAGAGAAGGCCCAGCTTGATGTTAGTAACTGTTAAAAGTAATTCTATTGGATAGCTGGTGTTAGGAATCAGTGAATTATGAAGAAGAGCAAAACTGTGCATTTACTTTTAAAGGAATTTAGTTGATTCATATGAAAACAAAAACCTTTTGAGTGTGGTGGCACTGACCTCTAATCTCAG